ATAGATGGAGAAGATACTACCTAAACAAGATACGCTGTGAATGTATTAACGGATATTCGGAAACCTATACGCTATTATACTTCACGGCTTCGAGTTTCAGAAAAAATATAATCTGATTAGACATATGTTAGACCCGAATGGAATCGAACTCAACACTCATAATTATTAACTGTTATTTCCAATGATAATTACGACACCGAAAGGTACGGGCCCGCATTAATGCTTGCGTATGTTGCGAAAAATATTCACACTATACAACAATATGCTTTACTAATAAGTTTAAATAAAGCACTTAACGGTTTAAAAATCGCAGTATATTAGTTAATTTATGTTTTAATTTACAAATGTCGAGCCGTCGTTAAAATAAATTGATAGTAAAGTAACAAATATATTTCGCGTTTTAAGCCATTTTTTACCCTATATGGTATTATTATATATTACAAATTCAAATAAATTACGCAATTCATATTATTTAAGTTTCGGAAGCAGAGACATATTTTGGTATTATAAATAGTAATCATAAAATTTACGTGGACAAGTGAAATATGTCAGAAGGGTCTATCTGGGTCGCCTGAGGCATTTTGTCTGTCTTGCCCTCGCGTGCCTTAACATTCGAGTCATATCTCACAGACTCGACTATGCACAAGGCATGCAAATAATTTACCAATTCAAGGAATATAATGGTATGAATTTTGTTTGCAAACTATTGACGTAATTTTAGTCCTATTATCTAAACGATACAACTTTTTTGATTAAAGCCTCTCGAGATAATCTCAAAGTCAAATCACAATCCTAATAATGTCGCATTCTAGTGGGTTTGAATTAAAACGTTGATAAGAAACAAAAAATGCAGTTTATTTAAAGCAAAGCAAAGATTAAGTATTGTATGTAGTTTACGAAATTAGCAACAATTAAATAAAACACTTTTAACGGTTTAAAATGCGAAATGTATTGCAATTTTATTTTACTAGGACTAGGATGTGTCAGAAACTTTGCAGCAGTCATGGTCACGGGTAGTTAAAATAAAGTAATATATTTCGCGTTTTAAACTGTTAAAAGCGAAGGTAATCGATTGAAATCCGTGCAGATTCGTTCTTTGCGAGTTCATCTGATGCTATACGTATTTTACGCGCGAGCGACGCAGGCTAATGTAACCAACTGATCTTTGATCGTGTTTGCTCTTCCCTATTTACTGGGGTGGCTTGCTTACATTTATTTTCTTTGGCGTCGTTTGAACGCTGATGGAAAACTTAATTTGCCGAGTCAATAAATGTTCCTTTGAGAGATTTGCTTTCTTTTGAGGGTCGTTATTACTTTTTACAGTCACGCATCAGAAACAAGAATTACAGACCGGGACCCTTTACATAACTACGTCTAGTTTACTTTATTGTGGTAATAACTATTTTATGTTGATATATTTCCAAAATTCTACGGTCTATATGTAACCGCCTCGTTTAAAATGGCGTTTAGTCCTTAATTTCCAAAATGATAAACGATGTCAAATCAGTCGAGTACTAAAATGATACTCACCTTTTTGGTTCTTCTGTGAAACGTAGGAAAAATAGGTGTATTTGTTTTTGTTCCTATTTGACAACTCGACAATTTACGCTCCTTTCAACTGTTAGAATATGTAAAACTGTATAGTATGTATAAATAATAAAGTATTTAAACAAATCTTTTTTGCTTTTTTGAATTACCTCGTTTAAATTCTTTCTATATCTACTTTTGATTAATCGGAAAACTCTTTCGAATGTGAAGTAAGACAAACGTGCAATTGCAAACTAATAATGGAAATGTTGTAAGTGAGCAAAGCTTCTTGCTTGCAGGAGGTAGGGAATGTGGAGGAGACTCGCATCCCGCGGGAGCGTACGATAATTGCCGATTTCCTTTTGTTTTCAACTAAACCCTATTAATTCCATAACTTCGGGAACTACAGAGAAATGCCGACGAACTTTGTTCTGTTTAATTTAGTGCATTGAAATGATAGAGATGCATTCGAAACTAACTTAAGGATTGAGAAGATTATAAAGTCATAATAATTAGTAATTATTATCCTTTTGAATTATAAATTGTGTAAGGCTTTCACGGCCATCGTTCAGCATATCATTGTTTTTCGGACTGTTCGGTCGACGTGAGCGAGAAGAGGTTCTCGACGTTTCGCCATCACGGGCGGACGGCATGAGGAGATTAACTCTTCGATTCGATATGCTTTTGAATTATGTTTATTTTTATTTTTTTTAATAGAGGAAGACAAGCGTGATGTGAACTTGATGAAAGTACGCCAGCCATATAAAATCTAAACAGGTTGCGCTGTGAAAATATGTTGGCTTTGGATATAAGGAAACTCACAGACTGGCCGACACGCGATTAAATTTGTTGACTTTTTCTTTTGTGACTGTGATTCATGGATTTTAATAATCCTACCACCCATTTTTATTCTGCCCATCCAGATATCGACACGAAGCCCAACATATTACAGACAATTGATTAGAAAACGGATCCAGTGGGGTTCGAGCCCACGACCCTTTGATAAAAAGCCGTGTATAGCTACCAATACACCAACGAGGCCGTCAAATAACCTGTATGAAAAGAAGTAACATTTGTAGCGTATTTTAACGCCCAGTTCTCATTAATGTAATGGTTGTTCTCTACCAGTCGGTGTTATGGAAATTTATTACTCTATCTTTTTTTGTAACGACGTTATTACATGCAAATTTAAACTAAGAATTTATTATTTTAAAAGCGATTTTACCTTTTAACGGTTGTATTATTGATTAGTATTATATGATGACTGATGTTATTTTGAATGGCAAACATTATACAAACAACAATAATACCAATACAAAAATCATCACTTTTCAGTTTGGTATTTAGCGAGAATGCTTTACATTCGATTTGGTATGATTGCTTAGAAATATGTGTATTATTACTTTATTAGTTTAGCTTCACACCATAACAACGAAACAGTAAACGAATAAACGGTCAGAATTGTTGTTAAAAATATGACATAATATTGTTAATTTTACTAGGCAAAAATCAAAATGTATGAATTTATATATTAAATACTGTCTGTAATTTATACGAGTAGTACACATTTAAATAAAACAGTTTAACGGTTTAAAACGCGATATATTTTAGTCAAAGCAGTTCCAGACGACGTGACGCTTTTGTAGTAATTTTTACTAAGCTAGCGTTTATCCTTCATCTTTAGTCTTCCCTTGACCACGGCTGCTGCAAAGCATCCGAAACGTCGGACCGTAGTTAAAAATAATTCTCAAAAATTTTGACTAAAATATATCGCGTTTTAAACCGTTACAGTTTTTTATTTGGATTTATATATTCCGCGTTGTTGTTTGAAGTTTTTTATTAAATGTATATCAAACGCGGATATTCGGAAACAGACAACACTTAAGACTACTGACGCGTTTGAGTATATCTCAGTATAATTGTATTATTATCAAAGCAATATTCGCAGTACTTATGTGGCGAATAAATCTTCCCTTCAGTCAAGTACAAAGCATTGACAAAATGGAATAGCTGTATCAATCTTAGTCAATGTCTGCTGCCAAATAACACCATTTGCAGCCAACGTATTATAATCGTTGTTGAATCAGAAATAAATAGGATAAGAAGTATGTTAACGATACAATAGTATTAAACAAGGCCTACAAACATTTTAATTAGAAACAAATGGTTTAGTTTAAAATTAATAAAACTTAAAGCATTGCGTAAAACATATATACAGTATTGTGTCGCCCCAAGCCCCATGTAAAAAATAGAGTATTTTTCTACATTAACATACAATTATACAATCTAAGTTATTTAATAGTAAACTTTTATTATAGCAATAAAATATTATTAACGGTTTATAACGCGAAATATATCGTTTAAGTTATTTAGCTATGGCCCGTTGTGTAGAAGTATTTGCAGCAGAGAGAGCCGGGAGAAAATAAGTTTCATTAATACCATTTCGAGTTTTAAACCGTTAAAAGTGTTTTATTTAAATTGATTGTATTTGATCAGTCAGAGTTTGTATTCATTGATGAGAGTACAATACAGTAAAATACGAGTACATAAGTTACAAGTGTTTTTGCAAATATTGTTGACGTTAGGAATTCTAACATTAAAAAAATTGTAAATTTACCTTTTTCAATAATTAAGTAAGGTAAACTACGGGCTGCTCGATCGATAGCTACCTAATAACGCGAAGCCTTTTTTCCGAGAAGCGCTAATGCTAGCTCTATTCGGGATAAAGCAGGCGTAAAATAATTATAAAGCAGAAAAGTAAAATAACTTCCCATTTGCTGGCTTAACACTTAATTCTCCTACCTAAGCTAAAATACATTTATGCAGAGAGTGGTTTACCAGGAATTATCCTTATAGCTTTAATAACGCACTCCCTACTTTAGAGGAAACTTCTTTCTAAGAACTTAAATATTTCCCCCTTTTATAGCGATAAGTGTTATTAACAAACTGTGCTTTTCGTATTGTAAATTAGAATAAAATACCGCGTCCTATGTTTGGACTATGACTATATAGCGAAGGATGTTAGTTACTTTTATTAAAAAACATGGTTTCTTTCAGTCCCCAATCGGTACAATACAATCCCTTCCTCAATACAACTACAGTCAATGTTAACCATTACCTACTACTACCCACCAAGTCGGTCGCGTCAGGTCGTTCTTGTAAGTTGATTAAAAGATAGGCTAGGATAGAAAAATATAATAATATAATAAAGAAACCATACTTTTATTCACACTTTCTCGGTACCGTGGACCGTTGTCGCAGCGCACAAAAATTAATTATTTTTCCCGTTTTTTTTCATATTTCTCATTGTTACGCTCCTATTAGTCACAGCGTTTTTTAAACCCAAAAAACCTTCTTTAATAAATGCTTTAACCAACACAATTCGAAGCAGTAGTACCTGAGATTAGCGCGTTTAAACTAACTCGTCAACTGTTTAGTATAAATTCAAATATATATTATTTTTTATTTCACAGATGGGACATCTCTCAGTAGTCATTCCACCAGACATCGCAGACAGCGAAGGTTCTGAGGCAAGTGTTCCTGAAGGTGGATCTGTGGAGCTGAAATGTACAGCTACCGGCGTACCAGAGCCCACAATATCGTGGAAACGCGAGGGCGGGCGCAATATCGTCTTTCGCGATGAAAACGGAAACGAAGAGAAAGGTATGTCTGTTATTTATAAATTATTTATTTAATAATTGTTATTGCAAAAACAATAATTATACAAAAAATATATGGAGGGTGATGAGAAGCATTGGAAAGAAATCTCTTCCAGGCAACCGATAATATGAATGAGTCATTTTATTTTATACCAAGTATCTTATTATCAACTAATCTTGACTGACTTACAATAATATAATGTGGGTATTTCTGTTTTTAAAATCGAGTTATAACTAGTTTAATTAATAGTCTTAGCAACTATTGTGAATGGGAGTGAAAATTGAAATTATTATATATTTTGATAGTCTCGTTGGTGCAATTCAAGTATAACTAATAATCAACGGGTCGTAGGTGCGATCCCCACCGGCTGCAACCTTTTTTTAAGAAATTTATATATTTTTTTGAAATCATTTGGAAATCTGGATATTAAATGGTGGTAGGAATATCGAAATGATGAAGAAGCCGTAAAGTTAAATCACGTCTGGGTTCTAGTCTGTGGATTTCCGAATATCCAAAGCCAAAATAGGTCGACAGCGCATTTTGTGTAAATGTTATATAGTTGGGGTATTTCACTGTCCTCCTCTATCATAAAAAATAGTATTAATAGAAATAGATAAAGGCACAATGATTTTGGCTGGGAGGTTGGGAATATCTCTTTGTGTAATAATGTCTACGAAGTTAAGGCCGGATGGCAACCCAGACAAAATGATATTCTATTGTTGCCTAATCGTTTTATGGTGAAGAATGGGACAGAATAATTAGTTGTCGTGACCTTTGATTTATCTTTGTCCTACAATCGGCTTTACACCGTTCATTAAAAATAATATCTTTATGTTGAAGGATAATTTTTAGATTTTTAATAGCTCTTTAATAAAAGGATAAAAAATAAAATGTTGTATGAGTAAAAGGTTTTTGGTTTTCATTTCCGTAGCATAATTTTTCTTTATTAAAGTGGTCACATTTCAAACAGTTTTAAAATTAAACGCATACAGAGTTGTTTAACTTACATGTATTTATACGCGCAAACGCAAATTATTTTATATGTATTTTTTTTATTAAATAAAAAAATATCTAAATAAAACACTTTAACGGTTTAAAACGCGATATATTAGTTAATCTTATGAATTAAAGAACACGTCGCGGATATAAAACATAAACGCCTCTCCAAATCTGCGGTATGCCAACACTCATTGGAAGGGCCCAATCATTACATTCGCTTTGACCAGCCAAAAATCCTCGCAAAGGAGAGTCGATTTTTATCCAAGATTGGTACACAAGCAATTGAAATCAAAAAAACACCGAAATTTCGATGACCGAAATAGGAAAGACGGCCTCAAATTATCAAACACCTGGGATCCTATATAAAAACTCTGGATCCCAATAAACAGCATACCGGCAAACGCGAAGACACCGTTAGTCAATTCTGTAAATTTCGCCAAATACCAACTTCGACGGAACAGATGGCACTAGCGTTGCAATTTTTTACTTTGACGTCAGAGACATCCTCCATCTTTAGTCTCCCGTGATCACGGCTGCTGCAAAGCATCGGAAACGTCGGGCCGAAGTTAAAATCATTTTCAAATAAGTTTAACTAATATATCGCGTTTTAAACCGTTAAAGTGTTTTATTTAAATGTGTACTACTCGCGTAAACTATAGACAGTATTAAAAAAAATATCTTTTTAAGGATATTACACTCAAGTTCAAGAAGTACCTACACAAAATGTATTAAATCATCGACTATTACCTATTTTTGTAAATATTATCGGACCATAAAATGCCACATGCGTCTTATTCAATAAATCACTAATGTCGCGTCTCTTACGAAATTCTTATTCGATTTAATTTCGAATGACAATAATAGTCGTTCATATTAAAAGCAGGACATAAAACGTCGATTTTCTTTTGAATTCTATTCACATTGAGGGGATTCTGCTAAGTGGTAAAAAAGAAACAAGACTAATTTTGCATTCAAAGCCCGCTCGAAGCGGGAGCAGGTGCCCGCACGGTTAAAACATTGGAGTTTTATGGGATTTATTAAGATATCTCCTTAAGATATTGGAACGAATATCTGAAATACAGAATAAATGTAGCGACCTTATATTGATTGAGTAAGGCTCTTTTCAGACTACACCGTTATACGCTACTTCACAATATCGTTCAAGGAACAATATTATGGACATGTTTATACTTAACTGTACTCAATGACTTACTATTGGTATGCTGTAGACTTCTTATCGCAATAGTAAATACAAAAACAATATTTACATATTCGAATTTCAAACTTTACGAGTTCTAGAATAGTTTGTCGATTACTAAAAATATCTCTTCAGAAGAAAGATTCGAAATTAAAAAAAAAATGTCGTCAATATTTCTTTATTTAAAAAAAGTACCTATCAAGGTCTGAGATTCATTTCCTTTCGAAAGACCGTTCTGAAAGAACTCGATTACAGTTTAAACAATATGATGTGGCAATCCGAGATTCGGTCAGGAAATTAAATGAAAGGCCGAATGAAAAGGCATGACGAACTTGTTATCTTAGTTGTTATGAGCCTGGGGCTAGGGTAAAGACACGAGTTAGGCGTTAATGGGCAGGTTGTTTTAACGTACGCACTGTGTGCTTAATCGCCTGTAATTCCGCTCCACACTTTAATATTATAAGGGATATACTAGTCGTTATTCTATGTGGAAGGCAATACGGGGGTAATTTCTGTGCTATGTTTTACGAATTTGACCCGTTTAGTTGAAGCCATTAAGCGTAAACAAAAGGCGGCTGCGGGTATACGCGGCAATAGTAACCGAGAGATGGCAAGCTCTTTGTGTAAATTGAGAATGTTATGTACACTTCGACCAGTTGAAATAAAGTACAAGAATTTATAGGTGCTTACATTTTCTTTTTTCTTTATTAAATTCTTCTTCTGCAGCAGATTTTTATTAGAAAAAAATAGTATATATTATACTGTATTACAATTTTACTGAAAATCTAATTTTTCAATTACAAATTAATTGTTCCTCTCTTTTAGAGACTTTAAACAATTCCCACATTATATACGAGAGTGTGACACAAACTCGTAATATAATCAAGCAGGAGAGTATGTGATTAGTTAATTAGTTATCTCAACGACGCGACTGACGCGGCGGAGCCTGAAGGCTGTACCAAAGTTAATTAAGTCACTTATTACAAAACATCGCTTAAGATCACTAAGTTCCCTCAACTTTATTCATACTTACTCCTGTATTTGAACGTAACGAACGAGGGAGTTTCTTGTGGAAGGGTCTTATTTAAGACATTTGTTTATCTGGAATACTTATTTGACAACTTTGTAAATTGCCTCCCCTTTATAATTGGACCGTAACATTATTATTGGTTTAAACAATGTAGACACAGGTAGATATCAAATGTTGCAAAAAAATATATTAAAATAACATCTGTTAAATATGTCAATCCTAAATTTAAATTTGTTGAGTGTCATTAAAAACATGGCGTAGCTTCAACTACGTGGAAACAGATGGCTTTAGCGTAGAAGAGATTCCGAAACATTCGTCGTTAGTAAAAAATAAGTTATTAATTTCATGGTTAAAACTGTTAAATGTGTTTTATTTAATATGTCCTGTATTTAAATGAAACGTCAAACTAGAGTAGATTAGACATTGAGTAACAAAGGACAAAATTTAGTTAGATCAACGTAACGTATAGCGCTAATAGGGTGTTAATGTTAAATATTTCGCATCGTCACTACTATTACATGAATAGCCAAAACTCGTTTCACGACAATAATAATGACTGTTTAATGTGGTTAGGAACTATTGCCCTGCAGCGTATAAAGTTATAAGTACTTATTACTTTCAGTTTTAGTCAGAGAGCTCGTGTTATTAGTAATTTTAAAAAGTTTTTAATTTCAGAGTACAAAATATTATAGTTTGAATACCAGTTAAGATATATAGAGAAGACCATAGAAGTACCTCTATGTTTATTAGCAGCGGAAAACTGTCACAGAAATATTTCTGCCTATACCTGAGCCATGTATATGTTATTCCATTTATTATTCGCAATGGAATATAAAAATAAGTGGTGATTTATATATATTGTATGTTAAAAAGGTCAGCATGGTGTAATACCACAGACATATAACATCTCACAAGCTCTGTCAACCTGTTTTGGTTTTGGATGGCTGACACAGAAACACGATTAAATTTCACAGCTTTTACATCTGTGCACAATGGTTCGTTATCGTCAAGAATTCAATATACCTTCCAACCAATTAACATCCAGTTTTTCAGACGAAGTCTGAGATGTTGCTGAAAAAAAAAAATTGTTTGTTGACTTGTTGATGATTAGCTATACATTGCTACTACGATCCTGTCAAATTTGGTTACATTTTTCACGGAAAATAGGGAATTCGTACTTGCTTACTAATTATATCGATACTTCGTGAAACGGCGCTCGTATAATTCGACATTGCACGTTTAATGCGGAAAAGTGTTTCAAAGAAAGCGGAGTTTCACATAATTGAATCGGGAAACAATTAGCTTTCGGGCAATAATAACGAATCGAGGGGCGAGTGAGTAACAAGTTGCCAACGACACAGCCCAACTTTATATCCCGTTAATAAAATACAATTTCATACAGGCCCGCCTGGATATTGTTCGCGCAAGGGTGAGTGTACACGGTTTAGAAGCCGTAAGCGGGTCACTTGAAAATTGCTTTTATACTTTATGAATACGGTTCTTAGTTTTGTCCACTTAATAGTTTATGGCCTCTGCGATTCGACATAATAGGTTCCAATCCCAGCCAATACAATGGAAACGAGCTCCAATCGAATCTGTGGAATTCTATAGATAAAAAATAATAGCATACGTAGTAGAAATTAAGTAAAACTATTGTCTATAGTTTATGCGAGATTATATAGTACATTTAGAGCGCGAAATATATTTGTTATTATTATGACTTATTTTCAATATAAATTCCTTCCCCCCGTGACTACGACAGCTACAAACCGATGGAAACGTCGTGCCGTAGTTAAAATAAACTGTACAGTTAACTAATAGATTTCGCGTTTTAAACCAATAAAAATAATCAATTGTACTAATGACCATCCACAGATGAAGAAGCCGTGGAATTCAATTGCGTTTTGCTATCAGTCTGTAGATTTGCGAACATCTAAAATCAAAATAGGTTGACAACGTACTTACCCCTAGGCTACCCCATGCCCACCCCATGATTGTCTTCTTCTATCATAAAAAAGTATGTCAGTATTTGGCAGTCATAATCTCAACAAAACGACCATGCAAATTTATTTAAGCATAAAACTCTAAGAATTATTTATTAGCTTTATGTAAAGAATATATTATTTTAACTATGTCATTCGAGATTTGAAGGATGTTTATAGAATGGTGCATTCACACCTTAACAGAGTCATATTATTTTACGTGCACCCTCGAGATTAAGGATCGTATACCATAATAAAGTTATAAATTGTTTCCATTTAAATTTAATTTGACAGCGAGCGTTAAACGGTGGATTGGCTGCGTAATGTTTTGATTAAAGCGTGCTGAGATTAGCGATCCAGTTAATTAAGGAGTTTAGTTCTGACGGAGCTACATGGACAATTCGAACTTTAGCTGGTTTCATTGTAACGTATGATATTTGTGGCTTTTGCGGTATTTAGTTAGAAACGTTTGGGAATTATTAATAGTATTAGCGGTTAAGTTTCGTAATATATTACAGATAAAGGTGTATACAATTATAGTGTGTAAATTTAGCAAGCCTATGCTTATATTTTTTTCTTTTTAGACGGTGAATTATGACGGGAATGGAATTTTTATATTTCTACCAAGAATTTAAGATCTCGCTTATACATTAGACAACGTATTTTTTTTTAATTTTTAATTTATTGGGAATCAAACCCACGATTCATTGATTAGCTATGTATTGCTAATATTGATATCAGCGTGGTTAAAGACTAATATTTAAAAAAAGTATTGAATTAACCGAAAGAACGTATTGGGTTCAGATTATAGCAAACAAAAAATGATCTGATAACTTGATAACACAAAAATTTAGCTGTCCTATGTTCCTCATTTAAAATGAACGGAAAAATTAAAAGAAAAAGGTTAATTTTGAGCTTATTTCTGTAGTATGAAAATCCCTGTTTTCCTATATGAAAATTGGTTTATCTAATATCTTCCTATAAAAGCTTGTTAACGCCCAATCGAGCGATAAAATAAGTAATGTTTTCGTCATAGTGTAGCGTCATTCAGAGTTATGATAGGGCTCTTATAGCTGAATCACCCCGACGCTGATAGTCTACACATGGTGGACATTGGTTTGGCAACGCACCGTACCTTTGTCGAGGGTTTTGCGAGCCAACGCGGTTTTTCATTTATGGCACAGCAATAAATACTCGCGCGACGCTCCGTTCGCACATTTATCAAACTTTTATTTATAAACTTACAATTTAAGAGCCCGCGAAATATCTATAAAAATGTACTCTGATATATTACGAAGTTAATTTCGGAGATGTGGGCAGTTATTTCGCGGAAGCGTTCTCTTAAGGAGGAAGTGTATTTTTTTTTTATACTTTATTCCGCAGTTATTTGCTGCATTATTTTTTAATAATTAATACTCTTGATGTTTCTACTCGATGTTGTTAACACCTCTGTAACTAAATGGTTAAATGTGTTGCCAAGCATTGCATTAAGCGATAGAGTTCCTGGATTCTAATCCCAAAGAAACAATAGATTGAATAGATTATATATGTAATTAATTAATTTAGTATTTCCATTTTATGTGTTTGTGCAATAAAGTGTTTTATTATTATTAGATTATTTCCGCCGGTTACGTAAAACAATCAGTGACATTGATAAAAAAATTGTTCGCCCCATGCGCCTGGGGAAAGTGGGACTTCACATTTGATGTTTGTAATACCATAATAAAGCAATAGAATACGATTCCAAAGACATACTCAATAGACTCAGTATATCTAAAAACAAATAGGACGATAGCGGATCCCGCGTAGGTGTTATATGGCTGGCCTATTTCGCTTCCCATCAAGTAAACACCATGTTTGTCTATCCTCCGCTATCATTAAAAAGAAAAAGACTGTGTATCATATTTCTGTGTGTCTATCATATGCCCTATATACTCTACCCTACCCGAAAAACCATTTACAATGTAGGTACAGTTAAATTTTTTTGCGTTTACCTCTTCAAGACGCACTTGATTATAATTATTTATATGAATTCTTTTAAAGATACATAAATTTAGAAAATGTTATTTTTATATAAAAAAAGTAAGTAAATACATTTATAAGAGTATTACTTGTAGTTGTAGAGAGCTACGCGGGGTCAACTCTGTCTCTGAAGGGGCTTAGGCGGACGGACATGGGTACTTACTGGTGTATCGCTGGCAACGGGGTGCCGCCCAGGAAGAGTCGGAAATACGAGGTCACTGTGCTTTGTGAGTATTGGCTTAATTAATGGCGTTCTTGTCACAATATAATACTTTTTAAACACATCCTATAGTTTATAAGACTATAAAACTAGACTACTAAAGAAAAAAAATAAAGAAAGATTTTATTTAGAAGGAACAAATATGTTTTTTTAAGGGTAGGTGCATAATCACCACAAGAAATTCTGTACTTTATAGATTAAAATAAAACACTTTTAATGCTATAGAACACATCATCCGAATCGTCGTATTAAAACAAGTTAACTATATATTTCACGTTTTAGACCGTCAGAAGTACTACTTGTGTAAACTACGGACAATACACAGATCTCAAATTAAAGAGTAATAACAATTCAAAGCACATTAGCTTTATATACGAGGCTGCGAGAGGCAGAGTGGCCTTATACAAAAACATGATTTTTCAATAAAGGAAGAAAGTAAAAATGCCCAGCTAAACATAGGCGAAAAATTGTACTAAAGAATTTATACTATTATTTATGTAACGATTATATTATCAATTATCGGCCAGTGTGCTAATGTAGATTAACATTTTTAGACTATAAAAATATAAATAAGTCAAGTCATAAATTGCAGTTAGGCTACTCTGCCTCTAGCGGCCTAATGCACATGAAATTCGATGTATGAAATTGTCCCCTAATGACTTGCATCTATCTATAGTCCAACCCATCGTGCGAGTAGCGAGCCTGGTCCTGTGGCGGATGGCCGACATGCAAGTGACATTACAATGCTATGTCGAGGCCTCGCCCAAATCCCTAACAACGTGGCAAAGGGGGAAATCGCACACAGGTACTCATGAATTTTAAATTAACCCCCGCATGAATATTTAAGCGATTGTTGACAATATTTAATTGTTTGTGTAGTTCTTATCACGCGCCTCAGTGAATCGGTGCGGCTTTTGTTATACAAATTAAGTATAAATGTACGTTACGCTGGGAATTATGCACGTATCAATCGTAGCTTTGTTTTCACCGCCTCCATGGCTCAGTAGTCAACTGTGTTTGCTAAAATTGCGTTTAATCCGAGAAGTTCTAGGTGGGGTGTCGAAAAATTTTTGGGGCCCGGGGGAAAATTTACTCTAAAATCCCCCATTGGGGGGGGGCCCTCTTCCATTTGAAAAATTCGTCCCAAGACGTATAAGACATGGCCAAGTTTTATTTAATTATTATAAACTATTTGCCAATAATAAACTTAATAGTTAGTAGATATGTTCGCTCTATACCCCAGAGGGGAAAAACCAAAAAAAAAACACAAAAAAAAAAAAAAACCCCAGTTTTTTTTTTTTGGCCCCCCCCCTCTTTTTTTTTTTAACTTTACCTTAAACGTATTGCCTACCCCTTTTGGGAGCTGATCAACTACTTGTCTGTTAAAGAACGGAGTAAAATGGACACAGAAATGTGTTCGCCCCTTGCCCTTACGAGGGGGAAACGGGAGTTGAACTTCAATTTAACATTGTTAGTTATAATAGCAACAAATGGTTCCGAAAAGATAATCTTTAAGTATAGGCATATACTTCGTTGTCTAATATTATATTTAAAGACCGTTTGTACTTACTTGTTTTAAATCTTTGAGAAACATGACATTATGTCTTAGAAGTCTTTAATCCCAAGTTAAGTTCTTTAGCAGGTCTAGGTTTTTAAGTTAAAAAAAAACGTCATAATTAAGAAAAAGTAATTGTTATTTTATACTCGTAGGTGCAAAGCTTCTTAACAGTTCAAAATATGGGATCACTGAAGACGTTTTAAATAAATATGCGGTCCGGATGAATTTGACGGTGAACCGTCTAAAGAAGAGTGATTTCGGAGAATATACTTGTTCAGCGGTGAACGCTTACGGCAGAGCTAATGCTACAATCACTTTGAAAGGTACGTTATCCATATGTAAAGGAGTATAAGAAGTATTAAAAAGATATTTTGGTATATATTTTTTTTTAAATAATTTAAAAGCCGTATCACAGACATACCTCACCTTATCTTTGAATTTTACTACACTTTATAATAAAACAACTTAATACTTTCAAGTATTTTGTTTGTATATATAATAAGTTAGTGATTTGATAGTAAACTAAATAGAAAAATGAATTATATATGAATTCATTTGAAAACTTAAGTATTTTTCACATGTTGACACTTTGTCAAACTTCTTATAGATTGAAAAAAAAACTAAAATGTGACAGATATTAACGTTAAACTTTGTAATCTCATCAACATGGTGATTTTATTACGCTGCAAAGGCGCGCGAGGGTTGTATGTATCAATAAGTTGAAAAAAATCGTTTAGGACAACTTAGCTCAATTGGTTAGAAAGCGCGGCACGCTGGGATACCGATTTAATTCCTGCCTGTGTCGTAAAATTTTTCAATCTATTATAGATTCTCAATTTTAATAAATAAGTTTTTCAAATGAAATCAACTCATTACCTGTAATAATAATTTATAATTTTCATATTACAGAAACGCCGCAAAAGACCACTACAACAACAACAACGACCACGACGACAACAACGACGACCACAACACCGCGCCCAACAACCGCACGTACAACAACACGCCCGCCCAAGCGACACCTCAAGAAACAACAGAACCAAAACGCGTTAGATTTGGACAACAACCTAATGGGTGTTAATGCTTTGAATTTTTACAACATTAACATATACGGTACCCCGAATAGCACGCAGAACCATCACCATAACGAATATAGTCAAAGAGTTGAAAGACAAAAAGTGAGACCGTCTGGCCCACCTCGACACTATGTCGTATACAACAACGGTATACGTATTGTATACAAATATCTACTATTATCTTTATTCGTCAATTTATTATTAAGCGTATAATAGGGAATGCATAAAAATTTAACTTGTATCAGATTTATTATTCTCTTTATATCGTGTGTATATTAAGTATTTATTTTCAATACAAAAAGTAGTCAAATCAAATAAAAATATCGTACTATAATAAACTGAAATGTTATGTGAACCTAATACGAAGTATGACGTCATTAATAGGATGTTTCATGAAATCTGAATATTAAATGTATTCAATACTTCGGCTCTCGGTCTATAATTTTTTTGTGTGTTAAAGGTAAAAAATATGCGTATTCCCTATTATACAGTTAGCATAGTAAAACGATGGCTGTTAAATTTTGAGCATTGTTGTATTATATTAAATGTTATTGTTAACGAATTCTGTAGGGTTGGCTTTAACGTAAGGATAGGTGTAATGTTGTTTTTTATCTGTGGCATTATTTAACAGAAAGAATATTCAAAACAGTTTTTTTCATTCGATATTTAAAATTTTGTAACGAATTTGGAGAATGTGATTTAAAAGTTATTCAAGTAAACGGTTTTTAGTTCATAGACAGTTGTAATATGCGTGTAAAAATAATATGTATTTCAAACATACTTTGTTTAAAAAAAATATCAATTTCATACAATAACATACAAATGTACTATCTTGAAATTATCTTTGAGTATAGAAAAACATATATCATTGCTATCATATCAATGAGTTTAGAATTATCAGTATTGTAATGTAAAAATTAGTTTTCACTGACAATATTATAATGTTATAAAAATGTTCGCCTGAGACAATAAATAAAACGTATGGGTAACGGAACATGCATCGCGAATATTTGACAATCAATAATTATTTGTACAATTCATTTTAACGATTTAAAACTCGAAATATTTTCAGTTTTACTGCGACGTTTTGGAAGAATAATTTCGCGTTTTAAACCGTTAAAAGTGTTTTAGTCAAATGCGTAAACTACAGACAATACTTAATAAATAAGTAATTAAGACAATTTAAACTTAAAAACGTTTCGAATCGTTTGTTTTTGCATTTTTTATTAAATAACAGGTCAAAATTTACACTATAATATTTGTCATGTTCTGTCGCAATAATATTCTTATAACATGTATATTATTATAGTATTAATAATCTAGACTTAACAAATTTTGTAAATGACAATATGTAATGCAAAGACAATAATAGTGACCAACAAAAATAATACATAAAAATATATTTGTGTAACTAGACTTAGAGTTATAATTTATATATTAAAATGCGATTAATTCGCGTTATATATCATAAGATATAGGGGGCTCGTAATGAGAGACAATACTTAATGAAATTTGATAATAATTCAATGTTGTCGCTGTCTACATTTATAATGTAATGTTTTGTTATTAGCGTAAAATGCGTTATAAATACGACAATAATAATGTCTAATAATTATTATATGGTTATAAAGCCACTGCACTGTAATCAATAATATTAAGAAGTGGATTTTTTAATTGTAACAATAAAAAAGTTCCAAGAGCTCATAGTACGTTACGAAAAACTTTTACTTGTTCGATATTCAAAATTTTCAAATGTACATTTTGATATAAAGTATTATTCTTAATTCGAATTAACGTTCTAGAATATCGTCGTGTTTGAATATAATAAATAATAAATTCGTCTTCCGAGTAGAGGTAAATTTAATTCGGCTTTTACATTTTTGATATTTTTTCATACGTTAATTGACTTTTCGGTTTTATCGTAGTCGTGATAAGATTAGTTAAGTCTCGTGGAAGAATTTACATTAGATGTAGATTGTATTACTAAAGTTGAATTCGTAGACTTAACTTTTTAAATATAACAACATCAACGAACATACCACGATTGTGTGCAAGATATGTAGGAGTATAAATATTTTTATTATCTATATCAATATGTTCTCTAGATACTATAATATAATGTATTAGAGGACAGAAAAGCCTTTTTGCGTATTATTCAGTATGATATAATGTCTATTTATATATTTTTAATTTGATACTAATATCTGGTCTAAAATTGTTGCCTTTGTGTACACCTCGCCAATTTTTTTTTATAATTTACCTAACAGCCATATTTATCGTGTATTCTTAATAAATCAAAGTTTTAATTTCTATTTCACCATCGTGTAAACTTTAAATAGAGCAAACTTAGTCATTTGAATATTTTATTTCTTTTATGGTAATATATTATATTTCAAATATCATTGTCATAAACAATAATATCTATATTGTTTAGCATATTTTGTGGTTACGCCAAAATTAAATATAACAACTTCTTCTTTTTCTATATTCTTTCCATCCCTAAATTGTCTATGGGTTTGCTTTCAACACTACTCTGCACTAAGAGTATTTGATTTCATTGAAGTTATTGATGAATAAAAATAAAATATAAATTATCTTCATATTATCTTCGTCTTTTATGATTATTTCCTTCACTGTTCTCTTTACTCTTGTCTTCTTGTCTTCTTCTTTATTGTATTTAATTCTGGCGCGTCCATATTGTAAATAATATAAAATCTATACTATTCTAAGACCATTTACTAGCACAACTGTATTTTATCAATGTTAAACGTAAGATGTTGATATCATTTTATCATATTATTTTAAAATAAAATATAATCATTGTAGAGGTGTGTTATTTCTTTTCACCGGATGTATACATTCACAATGTTGATTTGTGAGAAACCTTACCTTGAGATGGTTTTAAACTTGGCAGATATTATTCCAGAATAATATTAAACTGCGATTAATATAACTAATTCTTTAACCTTTATCTACAGTAAGTTCGGTTACTTACTGCTTTAGTAAGTAACTGTTCACATGAAACATGTTTTAAAATACATTCTTGAGTTGACTAATTTTTTCTTGAGTTGAACACTGACAGTATTTAAAAATAGGTCTGTTAAAATAGGTAATTATAAAAAGAAATTCACACTGATCCTGTGGATAAGCCCCACGACTTTATAACTGCTTAGTGATAAGAATCTGCGTAATTTTGGAAGAAACGTAGAAGAACACATAAGGATAAGCGTATTTGATTATAGATGGAGATGATAGTAAACATTTTGTAAAGTAGAATAATTTAGCTTAAGAATTTTTTTAATCATCACCATCTATAGTACTTTCCCATGTCCTAGTCTCAATTTACCAAGTTGAATACGTGCTAAAAGATAACATAGGTCGTTGAACCCTTGGTGCAATAGTCATGAGGCTGTTTTCCTCATTTTCTCAACGATTCAAAACAATATGTTTACAAGAAAAAGATTGCTTGTTTTTTTACGTTGAGTAAGTAGGTACCTAAAGTAAAAAAATATAGAACAGAACGACGTAAGACACTCATCTCGTTATTATCTTTACAAAACCCTAGCTGTGCCCGCGACTATGTCTGCGTAGAATAGTTATTTTGGGCATAATATTATTTATTAGCCATAACGATGATGGACGGCAAGAACGATAGAAGATACTATGGACATTTCTTAGATCATTTAAAGGAAAAACATTTCATCATACATATTTTATGATTTTTCCCCGTTTTTACCACATTTCCATCTAATTCTTCACTTCTATTGCTTGCAGCCTGATTTTTTAAAGCCTAATGACATAATAATAATGTTAATCGAGGAACCATTAATAATTCAACCTACACATAAAAGAAATCCGAACCAGTAGTTCTTGAGTTTAGCGTGTTCAAATAAACAAAGTAGTAGGTAGTTAGTATAGATGGTACAGAAGCATTATACGGTTCATAATTGACTTGAACTAAGCCATTAATCAGAAACTTTAGTGCACTGACCATAATTTATTCTGAACGTTAGAAATGCAATTTAAAGTAACTCTATTTAGTAATTTTATTGCTTTACCGTTGAATCGAAGTAGTCTAGTTGGGAATAGGTAACATTTTCCCCCGGGAGATGTTGCGCAAATGAAGTTGTAGGAATAATTTTCAAACTGTTGTTAAACGAGACAAATCTTGTTTTGTTTTTCATATTATATTTTGAGTTCTATGTAGTTTATGTTTTTTTTATGTAATGTACAAATTTGTGTAAATTTGTTTTTAGCTACTTAAACTTTAACTTTTAAAGATATTGTGTAGTAGTAAATACTGTCTGTAGTTAACGTGAGTTCTACAAATTTAAATAAAACACTTTAATGGTTAAAAGCGCAATATATTTTAGTTAAACTTGTTTGAAAATTATTTTTAGCTACGGTCACGGGTGTCTCCGAGTTAATTAAAAAATAATTTTCAAACAAGTTTAACTAAAATATATCGCGTTTTAAACCGTTATAGTGTTTTATTTTTATTTTTATTGAAATGTGTGGTTGCAGTTTGTAATATCTGTTTATATGATTAGGAAACTACACGCTAAAAATTGTTTAAATTGTACCTACGTATCACGAATTACCTTCACAAATGTAACACATCAATGAAAAACTGAAAGCTCTCGCAAAAAGTTTTCGCTGTCGCAAGAAAACTCGATCGCAAACAGTTATACATAAATTATCACTGCTATTGTCACGAGATGGGTTCGAACGAGACTGTATCATATGTAAGTTCAGCAGATTTATTTGAAAGTAATTTTCAGCTCGCATCTGGCGTTGCGGTACGAGATTCCGCTGATCAATATTCGAGAAGTCGCTCGAAGAATTCTCAAATATGCCACTCTTTTCTCCATATGACGGTGAGTTATTTTTCTAAGTAATTTTACAGCTATGGAAGTTTGTTTTAATAAATCGCCGCAAGCAAACAGTGCAATAAAGAACGAGCTCAGTTACTAATTTTAACTAGAAGCACGAAAAGTTATCTACT